CATCCAAACGTCCCCACGCTCCTGCAAACATGTGGATTTCGCAGTTGTTTTGATAGCGTAAATGCTAAATGGATGCTAACCCTCTCTTTGTGTGGCCGGAATTGTAAAACTTTCCATGTAGTAGTTCCTATCAAACGTGTCCAGTTCATGATGGAACATGTAGTCATATTTTGGCTGTTTCCGGAACACGCTGGGCACATGAGATCCGCCTGTAATAATGTAGTGAGCTTGAAGAGATTTCAAAATCACAACGAATGCCTAGTCCTCTGACCTTCGTAGCATTCGTCGTCGAAATATGTGTACAGTAGGTGGCGTGGTACATCTTCTCCTGCAAACGTGACTGGCCGTACAGGAGGCGGTGTTGACGGCCTTTCGCCTACATCAGGCTCGTCGTGCAGCCCCTCCTCTGCAGCTTGCGGCCGCGCAGCTTGACGTGACGTTGCCGCTTCCTCTTCCTGCACCTTCCTTCTCATCTGAGCCGGTGGTGGAACGGCGGATACGTCCAGCTGTTCCAGCTGACGCTGCACCTGTAAAAAGTCAATGCATTTGATTATTCTTAGTGGTTCGAAGAATGAGCTTTGAGGAGAATGCACAGAAAACTACGTACCACCTCTTCGACGGTATCCATCAAGCTCCGTCGCCTCCACACCGCGCTTTGCTCAGCGCTCCTGCTCACAGCCTCGGCTCTGGCATCTATACCACGAGCTCGTAGTACCGCATCAATCTGTGAGATCGTGTACATGTTATATAGCATATAGTTCCATAATTATTCCCACTTACCTGCTCTCGCACTAGCATTTCGACCTCATCGCGACGAACGTATTCATAGCGGTCTATGCGGCGATCCGTGTGACCCTAAAATGGCAACAGATAACTTTCACAGTCTTTTCGTACTGTGACGGAAACACATACGCTATTTGCACATACGAAACGCTTGAATACTTACGCCGACAGTTGGGATTCCACAATTAATGATTTGCCGCTCGAAGTCACGGTAAACTTTCCATTCACCTGCCGTTACAGGCTTGT